ACAGGTAAGTAGCACAAAATATTACTTAATGGGGAACAGGCTTTCCTCATGTACATTAATGAAGGATTTTGTTCATGTGAAATGGAGAAGAGGGGAAGGGAATATGCTTTTAGTGCATAGAAAGTTGAAGAAACAGAGAACAAAAGATTCCAACGGGTCTCTGCCCCTGCACCTCAGTCACTGGCATTATTTGTGACAAGTCATTATTCTAGTACCTACAGGCTGGCTTTTCAAAGGGCAAGGAAATACTAACAGCAAATAGGAAATTATTTGTTCTTATTTAGCATTTCTTATCCAGGGAGTGTGGGATAATAATAGAGGCTGCTCCAATCCTCTGAACACATTGTATGAAGGAGCACAAATACTGCTTACATATTCCAGCTTACCAATTTCCCTGTGATAACTACACAATAACATGAAGTATGGTGGCTTGAAACCACTATTGAATTAAGCTTCTTCTCAGTCAGGATGTACTTTCCAGGCCAATGTATCTTAATAAGTGGCCATTGTATGAGTCAATATCTGTTCAATATTGTGTCTGGTGTGCTTTAATGAAGTTGCAGTTACTGCAGGTATCAGGAAAGCAAGATACTATCGGGTGGCTTAAAAATCAACATTGGAATTGAGTTGAGAAAAAGAAAAATGACTGTGTTTTCAGGTCATCATCCTTTACTTCTGCATATTCTGGGTGGTGGTATCAAAGTCAGCCTGCAGCCCTGTCCTGTCTGTGTAAGATTTTGCCTCAGTGGGAAAGCCATGGGTTGTACCCCAGACACTCCCAAACCCCCTTTTTGTTCAGGACAGCCTTGCAACAGGTTGAGAGCTTTTTTTAACAACTGAATGTTTAAGACCAGATGATGCTTCCCCAGGGATGTCCTCTGCAAAAGGAGTGACTCTGTTTCTTTAAGACAGATTGTCAGACTTCTCACCTTAGCTGATATTAGTGAGAGATATGTTCTTGTTTCTCAGAGACTTAATTATGCATTTGCTAATTACAATGACGAATGTCTATTTTTGTCTAAACCAACATATAAAGAAGACAGCATAATGGAAATTAGTACCAAATTTGCATGCCTGTTTGCTGAAGCTTGAAGGGAACCTGACCAGGGTGGGAAGAGGAATGTAATGACAGTGCCCATAGAGGCAGAACTCCAGTGAGCCATTCCTAGGGGAGGAAACCCTTTTTAGCCATCCTCTGTTTTCATCTCACTGTGACCAGTCATAGAAATGCTTCATTTTTGAAAAGTGGCTTCAGCTGTACTAATAGATATGGATACACATATGGGCAAAGATATGCTTAATGAAGTTGTGCTGGTTTGAGCTGAAGCAGAGTGCCCATAGAGGCAGAACTCCAGTGAGCCATTCCTAGGGGAGGAAACCCTTTTTAGCCATCCTCTGTTTTCATCTCACTGTGACCAGTCATAGAAATGCTTCATTTTTGAAAAGTGGCTTCAGCTGTACTAATAGATATGGATACACATATGGGCAAAGATATGCTTAATGAAGTTGTGCTGGTTTGAGCTGAAGCAGAGTTAACTTTCTCCTCTCCAAGTGTATAGTTGATTGCTCATGCTTGTTCGGAGAAAGAAAGTGTGATGTGTAACTTGACCGTCTTGGTTTTATTGCAGGAAGTGAAGGTTCATTTGAAATCAACAACACTACTGGAGCCATTTCTGTGATAAAAAGCCCAAATCAGCTCAGGAAAGAAGTGTATGAACTAAAAGTTCAGGTATGCTCTGTAGCCAGTTTAAGACTGATGGTCTTAAATGCTATTGTCTAAAATAGTTCAGTTCATAACTGACTTTGCCTGTTTTAGAAACTGCCTCCTGTATTTGAGCAGTGTCAGGTAATATAAAACAAAGCAAATTGCTTCTGTCCCTTGGGATATTTAGTATCTCAAATTTCTTCTTTCAAATGAAGTCATCTTGTCCTAATTTCATCTCTGAACCTAGAGAATCAATATCCTTTACGGTCTGTAGATACCTGTTCTCTGTGTTTCCAGATTTTATTGCTAAGCTGGGCATTAATATCTTGTAACCTCCATGTCAAGAGATAGGTAACTGTCAATCTATGATTAGTAATAGGACTGGGCCAGATCATGTAATGTCATATCAGCACCCACTCCCGAGGCATTGATCAGCCACATACAAACACATGCTAACACCTCAATGAGCTAGTATCTGTGTGACAGTCTGCATTATTTTAAGCAGTTTCTAAAGACAAAGTGTTTAAAAATGTAGAGTTAAATTGTGAAGATTGTATCAGTTTTCTTCAGAAAAATGCATATTATTTTCATTGTAAGGACAGTATTGTCTAAAGGCAGCTTTGAGGCTTTGCATACTGCCAGAGCCAATGTAGCATCCCCAAAGGCACTTTCTTGCTGCTGGGCTCAAGCAGCTTGCTGTACCTGGGAGATCATAGAATTCTCATGGTCTGAGTTAAACTCAGGTGTCATTTCTTCCTCTCTTTACTCTGCTTCACTGCAGCCTGCTAGCACTTCCCCAATACAGGATGAGTTAAGCTCCTGTAAGATTTTTGGATCTCCTGGTTGTGTATGTGGTGACCTAGAGCTCATGCAGGCTACAAAATCTGCTTGAGGAACTAAAAGCGTAGGTAGTGACAGGCACCTCAGCTACCAGACTAGCATCTTCAGAGAAAAAATGCCTTTGATTTTGAGTCCTTCGAGCAAAAAGGCATGTTAGAGATAGCTGTTGTTACAAAAACACTAGTGAGAGTTTCTGTCCTGGCAGAAAAAAAAAGTCTTAGGTTCAATCCAGTGAATCAGTCTGCATGTTGTAGTTATTAAAACTCAGACAGATTTGATCTTTTGCTTTAGAAAAATACCATCTAGCTTTGCCTGTCTGTCTAAACTATATCCAGTTTAAATTAAGCTCATCTAGACATCAAAGCAGAACTGTAAATCAGAGACTAAATCTCAAAAAAATTATGTTCTTTTTCCTTTTCAAATACCTAAGTACCACAAGTACAGTTTTTCTTGCAGTATTCAAGACTGCAGGTCTTGCAGCAATGTGGCAATGAGCTTGATTGGGTCAGAGAATACCTAATTAAACTGGACATCCCAAGTCCATGGGCCCAAATGGGATGCATCCACCAGTGCTGAGAGAGCTGGCAGACTTCATAGCCAGGCCACTCACAACCATCTGTGAAAAGTCCTGGAGATCAGGAGAGGTGCCTGTAGACTGGAAGATGACAAATATCACCCCAGTCTTCAAAAAGGGCAAGAAGGAGGATCTGGGGTACTATCAGCCAGTCAGCCTCACCTCAGTCCCTGGAAAGGTAATAGAACACCACATTCTGGAAGCCATCTCTGCCCACATGGAAGACAAGAAGGTGACCAGGAGTGGTCAGCATGTGTTCACTAAAGATACGCTGTGTTTAGCCAACCTGATTGTCTTCTATGCCAAAACAACTGCCAGGATAGATGGAGGGAGAGCAGTGGACACTGTCTACTTTGACTTCAGCAAGGCTTTTGACACTTTGTCCCACAGTATCCTCTTTGGAAAACTTAAGAAGTGTGGGCTGGACAAGTGGACAGAAAGGTGGATTGAGAACTGGCTGAGCGGCAGACCCCAAAGAGTTGTGATCAGTGGCACTCAGTCCAGTTGGAGGCCTGTCACTAGTGGTGTCCCCTAGGGTTGTATACTGGGCCCAGTTTTGTTCAACTTACTCATCAATGACTTGGACAAGGGAACAGAGTGCCTTCTTGGCAAGTTCACTGATGATACAACACTGGGAGGTATGGCTGGTATGTCAGAGGGCTGTGCTGCCCTTCAGAGGGACCTTAACATGTTGGAGAGATGGGCAGAGAAGAACCAACTGAAATTCAACAAGGGCAAGTGCAGGGTCCTGCCCCTGGGAAGGAATAACCTCAAGCAGTGGTCCAGGTTGGGCACTGACCTGTTGGAGAGCAGCTCTGTGGGGAAGGACCTGGGGGTCCTGGTGGACAACAAGCTGTCCATGAGCCAGCAGTGTGCCCTTGTGGCTAAGAAGGCCACTGGAATCCTGGGATGCATTAATAAAAGTATTGCCAGCAGGTTGAGGGAGGTGATCCTGCCTCTCTACTCAGCCCTCATGAGGCCACATCTGGAGTATTGTGTCCAGTTCTGGGCTTCTCAGTACAAGAGGGACATGGAGCTCCTAGAACAGGTCCAGCAGAGGGCAACAAAGATGATTAAGGGACTGGAGCACTTGACTTACACGAAAAGGCTGAGTGAGCTGGGCCTGCTCAGTCTCAAGAAGAGATGACTGAGAGGGACTTAATTAATGTATTCAAGTACAGGAACGGGAAGTGCCAAGATGATGGATCAGGCTCTTCTCAGTAGTGGAAACCAATAAAACAAGAAGTGATGGGCAAAAACTGATGCACAGGAAGTTTTACCTGAAAACGAAGAAGAACTTCTTTATTGTGTATGTGACTGCTCACTAGAACAGATTGCCCAGAGAGGTTGTGGATTCTCTCTCGCTGGACATATTCAAGACTGTCTGGATGCAATCCTGAGCCATGTGCTCTAGGATGGCCCTAATCAAGCAGGGAGTTTGGACCAGGTGACACACTGTTGTCCCTTCCAACCTAACTGATTCTGTCATTCTGTGAACTACTTGTGATACCACAGCAAATGTAAACATCGTGTTCCTTTTCTGTTCTGTCAACACTCTAGGCAAGCAATTACCTTGCCTTTATTGGATTATTTCTTTTTGGAGAACTGTTTGCACCAAGGGTGAGTTACTAAGATTACAAAATTAGGAGGAGAATATTCTCGGTGAGCCCTTATTGGGACTGATTTATTAGCATAATCTTCTAATCATCGTAAACTTCAGTGTAAAATGAACTGAGATTTTAGAGAAATATGTCTGTGAATCTTTGTACAAGTTAATGTGTTATGGTGATTTGTACATGTGGAACAATACCTGAACATGAAACTGAGGAAAATGAATATACTCTCATCATTCTTTTCTGTCTCCTGCCTGCTGCAGGCATCAGAAGTTGATCAGGAAAGTGATGCCTCCGTGTACACTTTTGCCATGGTGACGATACGTGTGGTTGACCTCAACAACCATCCACCAACATTCTATGGAGAAAATGGTCCCCAGAACAGATTTCAACTGACCATGTACGAGCATCCCCCAGAGGGTGAAATCTTAAGGGGATTGAAGATTACAGTCAATGATTCAGACCAGGTAAATTGAAATTATGTGGACTTTCAGTTTTCCTGTTCTATTTTCCAGAAACTAAGAGCTGTCAGATGGAGAAATGCCATTTTAGGAATTCAGCTATTTCACCTGCACTCCCCAAAAGCCTAGGACAGAAAAGGTAGTAGTAGGGTCCAATCCAAGAGAGATCCTGGACCCAGAAGTATAGTTAGTCTGTCATATACTGTTATGTCAATGCGAAAGGTGGTCCTGCAGCCCAGTTCTTGTGTCACCTAAGGTTTAACACTCCATGTTAAAATTCCCCTAACTACTGGTTACATTCAGTTGCTTCCAGCATAATGTCCAAGAACACAACCCCTCTGTAGATTCACTCAGAGGTTCCAATCCATTTAGAAACTTTCAGTGCAATTGCTGTCTGTATCTTCTCCAGGCCTTGCAGGAAGCTACACAATATGTTGTCCTTCTGGCCTTTATGCTGTGGTCCGGGCTTTAATAAATCATCCCCACTGGAGTGATATTTTTAGGTAGTCTTAAAAGTTATGCCACAGCCAAACTAACCCTAGCCAGATAAAGGGAAAAGGCAGAAGACTCCATCCATTGCAGCCTGACGTCTAACTGCCCTATGATGCCTGTAGATACTATGGTGATGGTTGCTATAGGGATTCCTAAGTTAAATACTGTATAAATGACATCCATCTGAGTTAGCTTGAGGTTAGGTAGTGACAACAAAAAGCTTAATGCATCTGAGAACTGTATCACTATTGGAAAGAGCTCTCTTATGTAACTGTGCTCAGTATTGTGCTGGTTTGATGGTATTGTACTCTATCAAACCCACTGGTTTCTTCCCCCTCCTTCCTGCTGCTCTGCAGCAAGCAGATAAATGACTGCTTTCAAAGCAGTGCTACGTCTATGCTGCTATTGTCACGGGGGATGCTGCCGCAGAAGGCAAGAAACAAAACCCATCTCTTATGTTTAGAGACAAAATATATATCTAGGCTGACAAAATATTCAGGCTGCAAGTTAGGCTATAAAATAAGCAGAAAACATTGATAAATACACTGTATAGATTTCTCAAGAAGTTTCCTAGTGCAGTGTAAAACATCACTCTAGAGGGGACAGGCTGCTTTTTTTTCTAAGGCAGAATGCAGTGTTTTTCCTTCCACACAAGAGGACCATATAGAGAAGAAACTTAAACATATGTGTGTTTCTGTCACAGCCATTAGCGACTCTTTCTGTTGGGGAATTGGGTGGTACAGATGAGGAGAAGGAAGCTGTGGGCAAGGTCTGGTTTAGGCCTACAGTTTGATGGAAATGCCATCTCTACTTGCAAGAAAATTATGCAGAAATTTCTCCTCCAGACCTCTTCAGCAGACAGAGCTTAGGGCTCAGTGCTGCTGTTCCTTCAGTCATTCCTGTGTTCTGTGGCTGTACTGTAGCAGAATGGCTTGCTCTGAACAGATCTGGGTTCAGTGGACATTACTGTCAGAAATCACACTGCTGTTGGAAGGAGGCAGCTCTCTCCCCATTCCATGCCACCTTCTAGCCATGTACAGTCCCAAGTGCAGAGACTTTGTGCGGTCAGAATGTCCACTCTCCACATCAGCACTGTTTTCCATAGCCCATCAGCTCTGGGTTTTGTGTGTTTGGCTTTACTATCCAACAAAAGAGAGCCTGTTGTCATCTCTGTAGCTGAGAGGAAAGTTTGTGTGGCCAAACAATGCAGAACACTGAGTTTGGATCCAAGGTCATTCTGTTTCCCTTAAGGGACTACTGCTGAATACTTCTCTTGACATAAGCTAGGGCAGCATCAAGAACTGCTCATAACAAGCCCTCCAGGGATGCAGCTGAAAGTAGAGTTGTCCTGTTTGAAAGTTATTATTAGAAATTCATCTCAAGATTCATGCTAGGGGGAGAACGTGGCACCAGCCAGGCAGTGAATCTGGCTGTTTGTCACAGTATAAATATGACATTGAGAAATTGGTGAATTCAGGGAGTTTGGTGAGATGGACTCAGCTCATCTTCACACCTCCCCTGTAAGGCAGAAATATGAGAAACCCCATTTCATCTTTTCCATGCTTCAGTTTGGTTTAAAAGAAGCAGTTTGGCCAGCTGGCTCTGGCTTATTCTTCCCAACTTACACACAAGTGGTGGTAACCTTTTAGACACTGCTGCTTCCCATATTCTCTCTGACTGGAAGGTTTATCTATGTAGTAGGATTTGGCATCTCACTTCACCTGGAGCTGTCAAGCGTGTGTCAGATTTTATTCTGTACAAGTGGAGCTCCTCTCTCCCTGCATGTGCATCAGGTTCCAAAAGGTTAAGCAGCTCTGGGCTAGCTTCATCCAGTCAGTGCAAAACGTAGAATACCACCTCTGTTTGGAAATTGTATATCTTTGTGGCTCTGCATCTTCATCATCCCAACCCGTGAGTTCTTAGGACACAGACTGGACAATAGAAGTGTTCAAGGCCAGGTTGGCTGGGGTTCTGAGCAAGCAACCTGACCTATTATAAGGTGTCCCTATCCATGGTAGAGAGATTGGAATGAGGTGATCTTTAAGGTCCTTTCTGACCCAAGCCATTCTATAAGACTTTTGAGGGGTCCATTGCCCTTACTCGAGCAGTTCAGCTGTCTTGCCTCAGCAGGAGCCAAGAAGAGGCAGGACTTGACTACCAATGTGCACATGGTATAATCTCTGTTACCTGCACTAGCTCAGAGTGTGGCATGAATCCCAAGGCTGCTTGCCACAAGATGCCTCTCTTAGCCAGTCCTGCTGCAGGGTTTTTCCATTATGACTGAAAGAATAACCAAGCTTGTCAATCTATTTTAAGAAAAGCTGTGTCTGTCTTGTGACCAGGGCTGGAGGGATTATACAACTAAGCTTCTTAGCAGTCCCTTGCCCAGGGGATGGAGAACAGAGGGCTCTAAGCAGTGAGACTCATTCTAGTTTATATAGTTTGAAGAAACAGAGCAATCTAGGCTGTAAGAAATGCATCATTTACTGAAAACAATGCTGTATCTGCTTTTATTCACAGGGAGCCAATGCTAAATTCAACCTTCGTCTTGTTGGACCTGGTGGCATCTTCCGAGTGGTTCCCCAAACTGTCCTGAATGAGGCTCAGGTTACAATAATAGTGGAAAATTCTGCTGCTATTGACTATGAAAAATTTGAGGTGTTAACCTTCAAGGTACTTCTGCTTTCCAGGTCCTCTTTGTCAGTGTATATGCTATGTATATGACAGCTTTTGTATCTGATGTTATTTACCTTCTTAATCCACTTGGTGATGTCTGATGCATTGTCAGTGGCCTGATATTCCATGTAAAGCAAACTCATTTCTGCCTCTGGTTCCTCCCTTCCCAAGGCTTAATGGATGCATCTGTGGACTGATTTAGTCCAGTCAGTGCAAAATGTTGATTTTTATCTCCCTGTGGAAAATGTACTTGTTGGTGGCTCTGAGCCATTTTAGACTGAACCCTCAGGGTGTTATTTCTGCTCTCACAATGATAAATTCACAGGATGAAATCCTAATTTCTCTGGAGCCAGAACTCTACCTGCTTAGTACTAAGTGATTTGATTCATGATCATGCTTTTGAATGCTGGCAGGCTGAAGACCCCAGCTGACTGGAAGATAATTTCCAAAAATTGCTCACTGCTTTGTCAGAGCCTATCTATCTATATGGCCTTTTGCAGGCTGACCTGAGGCTCACCCGTGCTCTAAGCCAACCATGCAAGAACCAGCTTTCATCCAAAAGCTGGAACCTTGCATTATCACCTTCCCTGATGGATTCTTTGGCTCATCAACAAGCTAATTAAGTAGTCTGGTTTTGTGTCAACTGTCTCTGAACATGAGTATAGATAGTTCAGTCCTGACTGCAAGAATTGCATAGAGAATGCCTGTAATCATTTTTCAAAAATTGGCATAACTATCTAGTTGAGTATTAACACATGCTAGTTTTGATATTGTACAGAAAGTTGCATTTTTTTCACAGTACAGTTCTCTACCATACTATATGGTTTGCTTTGTGTCCTTAGCAAGTTTCACTGCTGTATCTTTCACATCTCCTCTGTATCTTTCACATCTCCTCTTGTAATGTTCCTTAGCCATGTTGAGCTTCATAAGTTATAGATGCTAAAAAAATATGAGGTGTCATTACTGTATTAAAGTGGAAGATTCTGAAAGGGCCATAAAGTGCTACTGAAACTAATTATAATAAGCACAAATTTATTCAGGTTAAACTACAAAAAGACCAGTAAGTGGCCTCTACATGAATACTAATAGAAATCAAAGTAGTTAATATGATTTCCATGAACACTGAAATAATTCATTACCAGGAAAAAAGAATGCATATTTTTGTAGCTTAAGCAGTTATTCACTTTTTTTTTTTACACGAAATTATTTCTACTGGAGAAAGACTGTAAGACTTAGCTTAAAAAGTGCAGCCTTTGTCTAGATTCCAAATGGAGAAGGTGCAGCTGGATGATATGATAGCAATATACTTTATAAAGTCCTCTTTGCCATCTCCATTTTCCTGAAAAGTTCAAATTGCTTCCTACTCAGTTTTAGTTGCCAATGCAGTCATTCTGGTTAGAATTTTGGATGAAATATATTCCTATTTCTATTTAATGTGTATCTCACAGCAGCTTTGCAAAGCTATTTTGAGGGTGTTTTCTTCTGTAAGCAATGATCCCTCTCCTCTGGTTTGTCACTGAAGAGTAAAATGCCACAGAGCTAATTTGACTGGGAGAAGCACTGAAAAACTGCCTGAAGCAAAGGCAGTTACTAGAGAAATCTATCTTCCATTTTGGACTGGCTCTGAAATGTAGTTGGTAGTCAGGACTTCTTCATTTTCAGTTGTCCAGGAGCTTGAGTGGGTTTCCCAAGTTATGGCAGCTATGGTAATTCATATGCCTCCAACCTAGCTCTGCTACAGGGGCCAGATATTGCTGTTCCACCTTGTCATGGGCTGACATGCTTTGGGGGTCAAACCTTCACTGCCTTCAAATTAGAATACATTCTGCCTTGGCAGGAGCCAAGATATTTTGTAGGCACTCACATCTACAGACTGGGACCAGATGAGGCTGTAATTATCTTCAGTTGCCAAAATTGAACTCTATTTAAAAAATTTACCTGACACTTTTAAGACTGCATATCAGTTTGATTTTCTGGCACTTGTATGAATTGCTGATATGTAGCCCTGTGAAGTAATAGTTTAAAGCTATTTTTTTCTCTCTGCATAAAACCAACAGTACAGCTCTGCATAAGACACTTCAGGCAAGTAAGCTGACAAAAATTCCTCCCTTAAGGAAGATGTTGTCAGCATGTTGACATAGCTGGACCATGGCTGCTAAAGGAGAGGGAATAAAAATGAGTGTAGAAAACAAAGTAAAAATACTAAGCTCTCATAAGGTATTCTAAGATGGGCTGATTCCAGCAGCAAAAATTATTTCACTACAGATGTTATAATTTAGTTAGAGTTCCATGTGCACAATAAGCAACTAAGATTTTATGTCTGTGCTGTCTTAGAAGCTGAGAGGGTTTAGAAGCACAAGGAGGTTTTTGCTGATACCTGAATGACTGTCCCTTCAAAAATTTCTTTTGCTGTAACACCACCTAAGACTCCTAAACACAAATGTTAGCACAGAGATGCAGTGACCAGGATCCCCTTTTAGAGCAGATATGTCCTACAGTAATTGCAAGCAATCCTTCAAGATTCATTTCTTCAAAAACATTTGCACCCTTTATTTCCAACCATTATAAATGTTCACACAGCAGGAACAGCTCTAGGAGATGATACTGAGATGGCCTTTTCCCTGCCTACTTAATCTGTTCCCCACCTTCCTCAAACACTGTCACCTCAAGGTGATACAAACGTCTCCAAGTCTGGCAGGGACTGGCATGTATCAACAGTGCCACTGCTGGGGAACATAGAGTCATAGAATCATCAAGGCTGGGGGAGACCTCTAAGATCATCAAGTCCAGCCACTAACCTGTCACTCTGCTGTGACCGTATCCTCCAGTGTCAGATGCAGATGCTCCTTAAACACTTCCAGGGATGATGATTCCTCCACCTCCCCGGGAAATCTATTCCTGTGCCTGAGCACCCTAACAGTGAAAAAAATTCTCCTAACATCTAATCTGAATTTTCCTTGTATCATCTTATGATCATTCCCTCTAGTCCTCTCACTGCAGGCATGGCAGAAGTGACCATCCCCCACCTCTCTACAACCCCCTTTCAGGTAGTTGTAGAGAATGATGAGGTCACCCATGAGCTGCATCTTCTCAAGGCTAAACAATTCTCTCAGCCATTCCTCATACGATGTGTTCTAGACCTTTTATGAGCCTCGTTGCCCTTTGTTGGGATTTCTCCAGCACCTCAATGTCCTTTTCAAAGTGAGGGGCCCAAAACTGAACACAGTACTCCAGGTGTGGCCTCACCAATGTCAAGTACAGGGAGATGATCACTACCATAGTCCTGCTGGCCACATTATTCTTGATACAGGCCAAGATGCCATTGGCCTTCTTGGCCACCTGTGTACACTGTTGGCTCTTATTGAGCCACCTGTCAACCAGCACCCCCAAGTCCCTTTCTGTCTAACAACTCCTGAGCCCCTCTTTCCCCAGTTTGGAGTAGCGCTGCATGAGTTTGTTGTGTCCCAAGCACAGGACCCAGCACTTTCCCTTATTGAACCTCATGCAGTTGCCCTCAGCCCACTGATCAAGTCAGTCCAGGTCTCCCTGTAGAGCTTTCCTACCCTCAGGCAGATCAACACTCCCATCCAACTTGCCTGCAAATTTACAGATGTGTTGTCTGCAAATTTACAGATGGTACACTCAATCCCCACATCCAGATCATCAATAACGATGTTAAATAGAACTGCCCCCAATACTGGGCCCTGGGGAACACCATTAGTGGCTGGCTGCCAATTGGATTTATCTCCATTAACCACAGCTCTCTGGGCCTGGTAATCCAGCCAGTTTTTTACCCAAAAAGTCCACCCATCCAAACCACTTCTAGAAGTATGCTGTGGGAGACAGTGTCAAATGCCTTGTTGAAGTCCAGATAGACCACATCCACAGCCTTCCCTTCACTCACTAAGTGGGTCACTTTGTCATAGGAGGACATCAGGTTGGTCAAGCAAGACTTTCCTCTCATAAACTCATGTTGGCTGGACTTGATCCCCTGGTCACCCTCATGCGCCGTCAACGGCACTCAGGATGATCTCCTCTATGACCTTGCCCAGAACTGAGGTTAGGCCTACAGGCCTGTACTTCCCTGGATCCTCCTTCCAAACCTTATCGATGGGTGCCATGTTCGCTAATTTCGTCAGCCAGAACTTCTCCAGATATCCAGGACTGCTGGTAGATTACTGCAAGTAGTTTAGCAAGTTCTTTTGATAGTTCCCTCATTACCCTGGGGTGGATCTCATCAGGGCCCATGGACTTGCTAGTGTCCAGTTGCCATAGCAAGTCACTAACCATCTCCTACTGGATTACAGGGGCTTCACTCATCTCTCCATCACCAACTTCCAGCTTTAGAGCTGGGTATACTGAGGACAATCAGTCTTGAAAGACAGAGGCAAAGAAGGCATAGAGTACCTCTGCCTTATCCTCATCCCCTGTCATTACACTACCCTCTGCATTTATCAACTGATGGACACGTCATACGCCGCCTGCCCCGCAGGGCACTGAGGTGCTGTGAAAGAGGAGCCGGAGGCACCAGTGAGTGGCATGGGAAGGATGAGCTCCCACAGCCCTCATCTCAGTGAGGCAGTCTGCCAGAGGATGCTGTGGCAGCCATGCTCCTCCTTCCAAAGCTCACTTAGGCATTCACCCTCTTTGAGGGAGCTCCCAGAACATGTGTCTACTAGGAATTAAAACCTATGCAGCTAGACTTTTCAGTTGACCCTCTCATATCTCAGTTAATGTTCTGCTCACTAGTCTATTAGTGATGTGCTGTCCCTAGTAGGTTGCTAGAGCTCTCCTGCTTTGTGTTAACTAGGTCTCTTTCCAAGCATGAAAACCAAACACCTTGTTCATGGTGTTAGTCACTTGGGTTCAGCCCCTACAGAGCTGAAGTGATGATTCTGCGTGATGTGGCCACCCACCAGGGACAGACGCTTGGGCTGGAGGCTGTGGAGGGCTCGGTGTCAGTACCTGCTGCTGAAACTGCTCTTTCTTGCTCAGCCACACACCACCTGAGCTTGCTGCTCTGCCAGCTTAAATGTCCTACTGACACTCCCCAAATCCAGTAGATTTTGCTCAGCAAGTAGCAAACAGACACAGTAGAGATGCTGCTGCTGTTTTGTGTTAGACTAAGGACAGGAGAGAAAACATTCTGTGCTAAGTAGCTGAGGTGCTGTGGAAAAGTGCTTATCTGTGGCCTTAGGGGTGACTCACCAAACACTTGCTTGGGTCTGTTTCCAAGTGAGGATTTGAGAGCTCCCTGCTGCCTACTGAGAACTGCCATGCCCCAGATGCCTGGGTTACCCTCTTCCTTCTCTGTGGTGGCTGTTCTTCCCTGCATCAATGAGCCATGCATTAAGGAGCAATGTGAGAACCCGACTTGCTAACCCAACAGTGCCAGCTACTCTCAGCTGAGGGATCAGTTAGGCATGCAGTGCAGTAGTGTTAAGCTCTGCTGGCAGCTAGACAGAACATCAATGCTTCTGGCTTCTCCCCATCCCTCATCTTGCTGTGTGTGGTTGCTGTCCTTTCAGATGAGCAGAGTTACGAGAATGTGGGATGCCAGAGCTCTCTGTTCTCCTCAGAGACAGTGATGCAATTCAAAAGCTCCAGTGGGTACCTGATAAAGTCCTAATCAACATGGGGCAGCAAGGGTAGAAGTCCCAAGAAGTCTGGTAGGAGTTCCCACAATCTTTGTGAAATGGAATTCTGCTGTACATGACCAATGCCTGACTATCCAGCATTTGGGGTTGGGGTAGTTGTCGTGGTTTAACCCCAGTCAGCAGCCAAGAACCACACAGCCACTCACTCACTCCCCCACCAATGGGATGGGGGAGAGAATCAGAAGGGTAAAAACTAGAAAAGCCCATGGGTTGAGATAAAGACAGTTTAATAAAGAAAGCAAAAGCTGCACACACAAGCAAAGCAAAACAATGAATTAATTCACTGCTTCTCACAGACAGGAGGTGTTCAGCCATCTCCAGGAGAGCAGGGACCATCACGTGTAACGGTTCCTTGGGAAGACAAACACCATCACTCCAGATGTCCCCCCTTCCTCCTTCTTCCTCCCACCTTATATACTGAGCATGATGTCCTATGGTATGAAATATCCCTTTGGTCAGTTTGGGTCACCTGTCCCAGCTGTGTCTCCTCCCAATCTCCCATGCATCCCCAACTTCCTTGCCAGTGTGGCAGTACAGAAAGCAGCAAAGGCCTTGACTCTGTGTGAGCTCTGCTCAGCAATAAGAAAAACATCTCTGCATTATCAACTCTGTGTTCTGCACAAACCCCAAACATAGTCCCATACTAGCCTCTGTGAAGAAAGTTAACTCTACTTCAGCTCAAACCAGCACATTAGTGCTGCTTCCAAACTTCCCAGGGCACTGGGTCTCTCATCTCTTTAACCAGTTTGGTGCAGTTTATTGTCCTGGCTTCTTTCTTGATGAAGAATTTATGCTTCCTCTGCAAAGGATCATGATTAAATTTTTGTGGTGATTCAGAATAATTCAGTGCTCATGTTTCCTTATGTTCTAGGAGCTGCCCAGAGTTGGGGGTTTGTTTGCTTCTGTTATGGCTTTTTGATCTGTGTAGGTTAGCTATGACTAATCACATCTGTCACCTGAAGTCTAACATGTATATACAGGTTTGAAGTCTTCTATCCACAGCTTGATTGCCCATTGCAGGTATGCACAAACAAGCCTAGGCTGCACACTGACCTAGCTCATCATCTCCCTGGCTTTGAGCTGTCTGATCTTACCAGGCTAAAATGCACCAATGTGCCATGGGTGATGGAGGAAGGCCCTTTAAGAAAAAATAATAGCTGCCTTGTAGTAATTTCCTGTTTTTCTCTTCTTAGCTTCTTGCAATAGAGGTGAACACACCAGAGAAATTCAGCTCGACAGCTGACGTAGTGATTCGCTTGCTGGATACCAATGACAACGTCCCTAAGTTTTCCTCTGACTACTACATTGCCAGGATCCCTGAGAACTCCCCAGGGGGCTCCAATGTAGTTGCTGTTACAGTAAGTTTAACTCACCTCTTAAGAAATGCTCTTTTCTGGGTGTCTGTGGAAACAGTTCAAGTGCCTTAAAAATAGTGGACAGGGGCAAATAGCAAATCTTACCCACCATTCAGCTTCTGCACTGAACTCAAATTCCTTTCCAGAATCAACAAAATATCCCATCTCACTTCTGAAAAAAATAAGTTTTAGACAAACATTTTTCAGAAAAACAAACTTATATCATTTTTTAATTAGAGACCATCTGCTTTTAAGAAAATCACATGGCCTGTGAGTACTAAGAAAGCCCCAGTTAAATCAGTGTTCAGTGGGAAGATTCAGTTGTGGCTAAGTAGAGTTGGATTTACTGGATTTGCTTACTTAAGTATGAATAAAAAAAAAAAA